AAAACCCATTTTCTGTCCCACATCCTGGGAACATCCTTAAGACAGAGGGACTATAATCTTGACTCGCTCAGGGAAAGAAAGCCAGGGATTTTTATGGCATGTCAGCATGATGTAATGGACGAGTCACAAGCCCAGGAATCAGGAGACATGGCCCCTCGGCTCCCACTGTGGGAGTCGAGTGTCTGGGTGCCAGGTCTGGCAGCTTGTTCGCATCCTGTTTCCTCTCCCGCCACGTGACTCTGTTTCCTCTCCCCCGACGTGTAAAATGAGGGGCTGAGACAGACCGTCTCACACATGCTGTGGGGATCTCGTCAAAGCAGGTGGCCTGACTTGCGGTGTTCTAACCAGCCCCCGGGGAGGCTGAAGATGCTCGCCTTCAAACCAGGCTCGATTCGCCTGGATACACAGGGCTCCAAGAACATATCTGAAATGTTTTGTGTTTCATTAACTCATGTGTGTGTCCAGAGTACTATCATTATTCACATTTCTAAAAAAACATTTTAGATGGTTCAAAAGGACCCATATTGTTCAAGGTTTAAGTTAATTAGGGATTGGGATCATTATGAAGGGTTGCAGATCACTCCAAACAAATAAACACACACCTTTTTCTCTAGCCCCGTGGTCGGCAAACCTCGGCTCGCGAGCCACATGCAGCTCTTTGACCCCTTGAGTGTGGCTCTTCCACAAAATACCACGTGCAGGCGGGCACATACAGTGCGATTGAAACTTCACGTGGCCCATGCGCAGAAGTCGGTGTTTTGTAAAAGAGCCATACTCAAGGGGCCAAAGAGCTGCATGTGGCTCGCGAGCTGCGGGTTGCCGAGCCGCAGTTTGCCAACCACTGCCCTAGCCCTATGAGATCTAGCCCTGGCTACACACTAGTATCACCTGGCATGATTTAAAAAACCACCAATGCCTGTTCACCCACCCACACCAGCCAGAATGCAATTCAAGGTCTGGGAAGGGCCCCGTCTCCTGGTATTTTATAAAAGCTTCCCCTGTGACTCTGATGTGCAGCCAAGGTGGGGACCCACAGCAATGACACTCCAGGTACCACCAAGTTGTTTTTCATGCTACCCACAGCTGTTATTCATTAACTCAGTGCACTCTTGCGGAAAGCTTAGTTAGATTATACAACTCACATAAACAGGAACTTGTAATTCAATAAGCGTTCTCAGCAAGGCCGAGGATACAGAGAAACCCTAGCTTTGTTTGGTCCCGTGTAGCAAAAATAAAGACAGTTATCAAATTATAATGCACACTGTGCTCTGGGAAGCACACTGGCTTTAAGGGAGACGTGGTCCATTTTCTCCTTTGTAAGGCTCAGGTTCAGCCAGCAAAGTCTTACAAAAGTCAGCAGAGGCAGTAAAAGTTCCTGGAGGTTCAAATGTCAATAGAGCAATCCCTCCTCGGGAACGAGTGTCTCCAGAGCGGGTTAAGAAGCCAGGCTCAGTTGGGAATCCTGGCTGCACCATTTTCTAGCTATAGAACTGTGGGCAACTCCCTTAACACCTGAGTTTCCTTATTGATAAAATGGGGATTAGGTTTTGAAGGTTAAAATGAGTTAATGTGTGTAAAGTGCTTTTTGTACGATGCTTGGTATAAAGTAATTGTTATTATCATCTACCCCATGCGGTTAGAAGTGGAATATGACTATTTCCCCCCTTAACATTACACTTTAGCATTGCCTCACTGAAACCATAGCACATGCGTACTTGTTTAGAGAATGATGACAAGAGGTGTGTGGCTTCTGGCAGGGCTGGGGCAGTCATAAAGCCAGAAAAGTAAACTGAATTTGGTTTGTAGCAGATCTTATAAGCAAGGCCAAAAAGTCTAGATTCATCCTGTTGGCAGTAGAATGCCATTGGAGATTTTTGAGCCAGAGAATGACGTGAAATCCAACCAGTGCAGAGTTCAAGTACCTCCCGTCTTCTCAGGCTGCCCGAGGTTTTCTGACCTACTTCTCTAAGCGATACTGTCACGGGATCTGCACTGCAACTTGTGGTTTCCTGAAGCAAAGAAGGGTTCCCAAACCACTGAGATTTCCATTTCTGCCCCAGGGGGACGACAGTTGAACCAAACTGAATCACCGATGTACATTCTGACAACTACCAGCCAGCTAATTTTATTAGCTGGAGTCATTTTATTTTTCTCTTAAACCTAACACAGGTATTTGTATCATCAAAGGCACTTTGGAGACCAACATTCCGGTCTCCTAGCAAGTCCGGGGGATCTCGTCAAAGCAGGTGGCCTGACTTGCGGCGTTCTAACCAGCCCCCAGGGAGGCTGAAGATGCTCGCCTTCAAACCACGCTCGATTCGCCTGGATACACAGTAGCTGAGGTCCCCCAGGTACTACAGGAATTTCATGTCATTGAAATTGGCAGCTTGCTCTCAAGCAGCTTGTAGGTTTAGCATGGAAGAATTTGTAACTGAGACTTAAGGGTTTGCCAGATATGATGCAGAATGTGAAAATTTTACAGGCTGAGAATTTTGCCCAGATCATCTCCTATATGTTAAAGCCAGAGCATGTAAAATTAGGTAGCCTGACTCCAAGCTCCCACTTAAGAAAAAGACAAAACACTCAAATACGATAAAATATATTCCTTCCAACTCAGGAGTGGGGGTATCTGGGAAGTGGAGTTGAAGTGATGTAAGTTCTAAACCTGGTTCTCCTCCAATCTGGGGAGAGTCATGTGGCACTTAAGTCTCTGTTATCCCAAAATAAATGGTAATAAATTCTTAAGCACCCAGATGTGCAAAAGTTCAACAAATGTAGTCCTAGTTGGTTTGGCTCAGTGGATAGAGCGTTGGCCTGCGGACTGAAGTGTCCCGGATTTAATTCCCATCAAGGACACATGCCCAGGTTTGGGGCTTGATCCTCAGTGGGGGTCCTGCAGGAGGCAGCTGTTCAATGATTCTCTTTTTTTAAAAAAATATATTTTATTGACTTTTTATAGAGAGGAAGGAAGGGGTATAGAGAGTTAGAAACATCGATGAGAGAGAAATATCCATCAGCTGCCTCCTGCAGGACCCGCACTGAGGATCAAGCCCCAAACGTGGGCATGTGTCCTTGATGGGAATGAAACCTGGGACACTTCAGTCCGCAGGCTGACGCTCTATCCACTGAGCCAAACCAACTAGGACTACATTTGTTGAACTTTTTTTTTAAAAAAAAAGTTCAACAAATGCTAACTAGTGCTTAAAATGCTAGCCCCTGTGTTTTATTCTGTAAATCCTCACCATAACCCTATTGACTAGGTTACAGCATTTAACCCCGCTTATCAGATAAGGATAATGAAGCACAGAGCTTAAGAAACTTGCTCAAAGCCACAAGCTAGCAAGTGGCAGAGCCAGGATTCCAACACAGCATTGAGAGTCTGTGTGGGTGCAATAAAATGCAGTCACTGCCTGAACAAGCTGAGAGCCTAGTGGGGAGAAATAGAGTTCATGCAGACATGCTTACAACACAGGTGCATCTGCAGGACATCAACAGGACACTAATGTTGAGAGAAAAAGACATCGTTGCTAGGGTTGAAAAGGCTTCTGAGAAGAGTGGTGTTGGAATGGGGCTGAAAAAGTGAGTGCACGGGACTCTGCCTGATGGAGAGAGTGAAGACGGTCTAGAGCCGTGGTTGGCCAACCGTGGCTCGCG